TGCGTGATCGTTGGTGTGGTAGTACCAGTGGTCGTAGTAGTAGTAGTAGTAGTAGGAGTAGTAGTAGTAGTAGTAGTAGTAGTAGTAGTAGTAGTAGTAGTAGTAGTAGTAACATTAGTGGCGGTATTAGTAGTAGTACTAGTAATGGTGTTACTACGAGTGGTTCTCGTAGCAGTACTAGTAGTAGCAGCAGCAGTTGTTATAATGATACTATTATCAGGCGTTTGTGTGGTAGACATAGCAGCAACATATGGGGCTTCTGAGAGGCCTCGTAGAGGCTTGTAAAAGAAGCCTCTAGGAGGCCTCTCAGAAACCCCGCAGAGGCTTCTGAAAGGCTTCCCAGAGGCTTCTTAGAAGCCTCTGAGACTTCTAAGAGGCCTCTTGGAGGCCTCTTGGAAGCTTCTAAGAGGCTTCTTAGAGGCTTCTTAGAAGCCTCGAAGAGGCTTACCAGAGGGTTCTTAGAGGCTTCTGTAAAAGCCTCTCAGAAGTCTTTAAGAAGCCGCAGAGAAGCCACAAAGAGGCTTCTTAGATGATTCTTAGAGGCCTCTCAGAGGCCCCCAAGACGTCGCGTAGAGGCTTCTTAGAGCCTTCCTAGAGGCTTCCACGAGGTCTCTTAGAGGCCTTTTAGAAGCCTCTTATAAGCCTCTTTGCAGCGTTTACGAGGCAGTCTCAAGGCCTCTTAGAATCTTCGTAGAACCTCGCAGAGGCCTCTTCAAAACCCAGGTTCCGGAAGAAGAGGGGGGAATTTGCCACAGTGAAGCGGCGGTGGATCACGCTCTTTCCATGGAGCGTGTCCACCTCGCCGGCTCTCGCTTGCACCCCAACGGCGCGCCAGTCGATGGTGTCTGTGTGTGTGTATGTGTGTGTGTCCTCCCGGTGGAGCACGGGGCGGCTGGCCTGGCTTCCGCCCCGCCCTCTTTAGACGCAGCAGCAGCCATGCCTCGGGGGTTCACGGACCGCTTCGGCACCCCGCACCCTTTGCCCCCCTGCTGGGAGGCTTCCCGGCCAGCATGCGTTCCCGACAGCCGACTCCACCCCGCCCATCCCGACCGCCAGTGTTCGGGCGGGTGGTGCAGTCGACCAGCATAGAAAGGATGGACCGCTTTCCCAAGGGTGCCCTTTGCATCCTTGCCCCTTCAGCCCATCATTGCCCGCTTTCGCTGGCCGCGCCCCGCAGGCGGAGTGCAGACATGGTCTTCCAAGGCCCTTGCATCCTTCCCGCGCATCTTTAGCATACGAGTTTATTGCAATGGGGGTGACTTTAACGGGTGGTGACGAACGGGACCCTAAAGGGGCCCTCCAGGACCCCTCTCGGGCCCCTGCGGGTTCCGAAAGGGGCCCCGAAGGGCTCTTGCAGGGCCCTCCTTTCAACGCTAATTTAGGCCACCCCCCCATTGCCCCCGCCCGAAGTGTGACGACTGCGTGAGCCAAGTCGGCCCGCGTGACAAGCACGACAGGCCCACGGTGCATGTGGCTCTCCCCAGGCTTCTTACGCATTTTCGAGATGACGATCGCCAAGCCCCGCATCTGGCTTGAGTGTGTCCATTTGGGCGATTGGATTTGTAACAACGGCTCCGAAAGCCAGCGGAGGAACAAATATGTAAGTGCATCTGTGTGTGAATGCCAGAGGCCCCCTCCGCGGCCGCCTTATTGCCTTCCCCCCCCTCTTGCATGCGGGTGAATTCGCGGTGCCGTGCCCGGGCCTCGCCCCGACGCGCGTGCGGATCGCCTCTGCCGCGTTGCGACGTTGAACACGTGTGTGATTGCCAGACGGCTGCGGTGCGCGCGCGTCATCCACGCTGTCGGCTCGCATTTCCGTGAATGGGGCGGAGAGGAAGGCACGGAGGCCTTGCCGTATCATTGTTGCATTTCTAGCTTGTCTGGCTGGTCCGTTCAGGGCGCTCTACTGTTGGAGTCAGGATTCGCTTGTGCGCAGCTTCCCCCTCGGTCCCTTCTCGCCGTTGTGCCAGCCGCTTGTGTGCGCTGCACTCGAAGAAAGCAGCTGGCGGCCTCACAAGACGGCAGGAGGGCAGGTTTTCTTTTGGGCCATCGCTGACGGATCGTCTGCATGGAGTCGCCTGGCCGCGATACCTTGGAGGGAACATGACATCGTGGTGTCACCCTTGGTTGATGGGTCATGTAACGAAAATCCTTAGGTGGAGCTGAATTCTCGCAGCCACCCCGAGGGGTCAAGGAGGCGAGCACGGCAGGTTCGCGCCGTGTCGACCGGCGGCGACGCCGCCGGCGACTCAGAACCGGTCGATGTTGAACGATCCGACGTTTCAGAAACGGCCGATCGTGCAATATTGAACGATCCCCAGGGTGCCGCGAACCAACGCCGGGGTCGGCACGACGCGGACCCGCCGTGCCCCCCTCGTCTTCGCACCCTCGACAGGCCCGCAACTCCTCCACCGTCTTCTGCCACGCCGGGCACGGGGCCGACCTGCACGGCTGCTGCTTCCAGCCGCCGGTGATGCGGGTCGTCGAGCGGCTGGCGGAGGTGCACCGACGCCTGCAGCAGTCTGAGACCTAGCAGGCTCGTGCACAGAGTGACCCTGGGAGGACCCCGACTGATGTTTGCGGCCGGGGACGTTGTTTTCCAAATCATCCTGTGGTGTTGAGTCCTTGTTCTGAAGAGACGGCGCCCCGAGTTCCTCACTCCTCCCCCTCCTCCCTCCTCCCATCGTCGTCGTCGTCGTCATCATCATCGTCATCATCATCATCAGCATCGTGAACCGCATCATCATCAACAGCATCATGAATATCATCATCATGATCATCATCATCATCATCACCATCATCCTCGTTACCATCTTCATCGTCGTCTTCGTCATCATCATCAGGATCAGCATCAGTACTATCATCATACTCATCACCATTATCATCGTCATCGTCGTCTTCGTCCTCATCACCAGCATCACCATCATCAACATCATGACCGTCATCATCACTATCATCATCATCATCTTTGCCATCATCATCATCGTCATCATCATCGTCATCGTCATCGCCGTCATCATCATCATCATCGTCGTCATCATCATCATCACCATCCACATCAGCGTCGTCATCGTCATCATCATCGCCATCATCATCACTATCATCATTATCACCACCTTCACCATAATCAGCATCATCAGCATCCTCGTCATCATTGTCATCATCATCATCACCATCATCAGCCACATTATCATTATCGCCATCATCAGCAGCATCAGTATCCTCATCATCGCCATCATCATCATAACCACAATCAGCATCAGCACCATCATCATCAACACCAGCATCATCACCATCAGTATCATCAGCACCATCAACATAAGTTATACAACATCATCACCATCATTATCATCAACACCATCATACCATCACCATCATAATATCACCATCGTCATTATCATCACCATCATCAGCATCATCATCATCATCATCATTGACATCATCATCGGCATCATCATCACCACCACATCATCATTAGCAGCAGCATCACCATCATCACCATCATCATCATCACCATCATCACCATCATCACCACCATCATCATCATAATCATCATCATCGCCATCATCATCATCCTCATCATCACCAACACCATCATCATCATCATCATCATCATCATCATCATCATCATCATCATCATCATCATCATCATCATCATCATCATCATCATCATCATCATCGCCATTAGCTTCGGCACAACCTTCACGCGCTTCGTGGCCCCATAGGGAGCTCCACCGAAGGCCCCAGTGGCTCCGTCCACGTGCGTCCCGCGCCCATTTCGGCACAGCCCTCACACGGTTAGTGTCCCCACAGGTAGCTCCACCGAAGGCCCCAGTGGTTGCGTTCATTTGCGTCTCGCGACCATCTTGGCGCACCCTTCACCCGTTTCGTGGCCTCATAGGGAGCTCCACCGAAGGCCCCGGTTGCTTCGTCCACGTGCGTCCCGCGTGCATTTCGGCACAATTCTCACACGTCTCGTGGCCCCACAGGGAGCTCCACCGAAGGCCCCAGTGTCCACATGCGTCCCGCGCCCATTTCGCCACAGCCCTCGCACGTTTCGTGGCTCCCTCAGGGAGCTCCTCGAAAGGCCCTGGTGGCTGCGTCCACATCCGTCCCGCGCACATTTCGGTAAACTCTCACAAGTTTCGTGGCCCCACAGGGAGCTCCACCGAAGGCCCCAGTGGTTGCGTCCACATGTGTCCTGCGCCCATTTCGCCTCAGCCTTCACACGTTTCGTGGCCCCACCGGGAGCTCCAACGAAGGCCCCAGTGGCTGCGTCCACATGCGTCCCGCGCCCATTTCGCCGCAGCATTCACTCGTTTCGTGGCCCCATAAGGAGCTCCACCGAAGGCCCGAATGGTTGCGTCCACATGCGTCCCGCGCCCATTTCGGCACACCCCTCACACGGTGCGCGGCCCCATAGGAAGCTCCACCGAAGGCCCCATTGGCTGCGTCCACATGCGTCCCCCGCCCATTTCGCTACAGCATTCACACGTTTCGTGGCCCCACAGGGAGCTCCACCGAAGGTCCCAGTGGCTGCGTCCACATCCGTCCCGCGCACATTTCGGTAAACCCGCACACGTTTCGTGGTCCCACAGGGAGCTCCACCGAAGGCCCGAATGCTTGCGTCCACATGCGTCCCCCGCCCATTTCGGCACGCCCCTCACACGTTTAGTGACCCCACCGGGAGCTCCACCGAAGGCCCCAGTGGCTGCGTCCACATGCGTCCCGCGCCCATTTCGCCACAGCATTCACACGTTCGTGGCCCCACAGGGAGCTCCACTGAAGGCCCCAGTGGCGTCCACATGCGTCCCGCGCCCATTTCGCCACAGCATTCACACGTTTCGTGGCCCCACAGGGAGCTCCACCGAAGGCCCCAGTGGCTGCGTCCACATGCGTCGCGCGCACATTTCGGTACACCCTCACACGTTTCGTGGCCCCACAGGGAGTTCCACCTGAGATCCCAGTGAAACCGCCCGCATGCGGGCGCCACCGCATTCTGGCACACCCCTCACACGTTTCGCGGCTCCAGAGGGAGCTCCACCGAAGGCCTCAGCGGCACAGCCCGCATGCGGGCGGTGCCCCATGGGGAGTCCCACTTACGACGGTCATCGGAATTGCGGTACCCACAACTGCATATGGTTGGGCCCTTCGCCAGGCTCAGGGGTTCGTCGATTACCTGGGTTTATCGGGCCCGCCCCCCCTTTCCCTTCCCCTCCCGATAATTTACCGTTGTCGGTTGTGCATATCCGCAGGGGGCACGCAGTGCTGGTGCGCGCGGGCGTACGTGGGGCTGCCCAAAGCGAAAAGGTTCGGTCATCGGCCAGCACTTCCCCCCCAACTGGATAACTCGTGTTATCGCTTAAAAATTCGTCTGCCCAACGGGCCAAGGGCGTGCTAAGATCTCCGGTAAATGGTTAACAGTATTTCTAGTTCGCGCGCGCGCGGGGCCGCCCCTGGGGGTCCCCAGACGATAAGTATCCCGGCAAGGTCCTGGCAAGGTCTCGGCCAGGTCCTGGCCAGGTTCCAGCAGACTCCCAAGAACGCTCCAGGAGCGCTCCCAGTGGCCTCCAGGAAAGCTCAACATGGTCCGAGACGGTCCAAGAGCGATCCAAGACGCCAAAGATGGCCTCCAGACAGCCCAAAGCGCTTTCAAGGCGCCCCAAGAGGCCTCCAAGAGACCTCTCAAGAGGGCCCACAGAGGCAGAAAGTAGTCAGTGATTTTCCTCAAGTTTTTGAGGGTTTTTGGCGTTCTCGCCTTTTCGGCTTACCAGCGCTCCAAGACGGCCCAAGAGGCTTCCAGGATCGCCCCAACTCGGCCCGAGTGGCCTCCAAGAGCGCCCCAAATGGCCCCAGAGTGCCCCAAGACAGCCCCAGAGGCCTCCAAGATGGCCGAAGAGGCTTCCAAGACGGCTCCAAGAGCGGGCCCAGACGGGGGACACGAGCGGACATTTCGAGCTCTAGGCGCGAAGAGGCCCCCTGGAGGTCCCAAGAGGCCCCCAAGAAGCCCCCAAGAAGCCCCGAGAGGCCCCAAGAGATCCCCAAGAGGCCGCCCAGAGGCCCCAGTGACGCCCCAGGAGGTCCCACGGCCCCCAAGAGGCCCGCCAGAAGCCCCAAGAGGCCTCAAAGAGGTTCCCACGAGACACTCAGGATATCACAAACATACCGCCACGAGGCCCTCGAGAAGCTTCGCAGAAGGCCCCAAGCGACTCCCGAAGAGGCGTCTTGTCATGATCAGTTTCGCCCCAAATTGACAGAAAGCCCTCCAGAGATCTCCTCGTCCTCTTCCCCCCTCTTCCTCCTCCTGGTCCTCCTCCTTTTCGCTCGCCACGAGCACACAAACATTTAGCACCAGTGATGCAAGATGGGCTGGCGGAATGAGCGAAGCGATTAAATGAAAACGATTTCCTGTGCGGTGGAACCGTCGTGAGAGCGAAGGCAAAGGACAGCGAGCAGTACGATGACCGGGAACAGCTACGGCAGGCAGGTGGGAGACAGGAAGATGAAGAAGAGAGACCCATCGGGGTGCTAAGTGCGATGTTCTGAGAATCTGCGGTGCAAACTGTCTGGTACGAACAGACCGCGGCATTCGAGGCCAAATTCTGATGCGACTATCGAGCAACCTCAGTGCCGACAAGTATTGTGCTGTGGAGTCAGACACTCTTGACGCTTTGCAGATCCCCACGAGGCTATCCAGAGAGCGAAGGAGCACGCAGTGAAAAAGTGAGGTGGGGATCGGGCGGGGCTGGGACAAGGACAATCCGTTCCAGAGCGCTCTTAGAAGGCCGTGGCGCCCAAAACATCTTTCATAGCCGCCGGATCTCAGAGATTCTCCGTTTATCCGCATCCGAAGTTGTTCTCGTCTTGGCTTCGTCATAGAGGCAGCCAGCAAGCCGAAGTCTCGGGATCAGCCTGAGCATATCGAGGATCGGAATTGCTGAGCCTACCGTCGGAGGAGGACGGGAAAGTGGAGAAAGAGAAGGTGGATGAGGGAGGAGGTAGGTTCGGCGGCGCGCTCGGAGGGAAGTGAGAAGGAGCAGGCCTTCTCAGAAGGCGGTGGGGCTTCTCAGAAGCCCTCGCGCCTTTGAGAAGCTTTCCGTGTCTTCGGGGAAGGCTTGGACATTTTCTCAGAAGGCCAGTGGTTTTCCGAGCTTTTGAGAAGGCACGCCCCCTCTCACTTCCCCCGGGCGCGCCGCCGATAGGTGGGATGATTAGGATGAGGATGAGGACGAGGACTAGGGGGAGGAAGTGGTGCCGACGACGATGCCAGCGTCAATGACCTGAAGTAGTAATCGGATGCCGGGGAGAGTGTGAGGATCGGAATGAGTAAGCGGATGAAGAGGAGGACGGAGTATGACGAGGATGATGATAAAGATGATGAAGCAGCATGATAATGGGGAGGATGATACATATGAAGAGGAACCATGAGGAGGAGGGGGAGGAGAAGGAGAAAGAGGAGGAGGAGGAGAAGGAGAAGGAGAAGGAGGAGGAGGAAGAGGA